GGTTTGTAAGTTATCGTGGTCGGGGATGAGGGTGACGCTTTCTTTAAACTGCACACTGTACGCACTTGCATGAACTCTGAAGTGTATAAAAAGGGTAAAGTGTTAACTTCTTAGTAGAAAGAACCAGTTGTTTTGGCACAGCTTGAAAACTTTGGACCAATAACGTGCGGTAATTCAATGTGGAAAAAACGCTTGAATGTCTGACCCTCCTGCGGCATGCTGGACATCTCCGATCGGACTTGTTCTCCAGCTGTTTGCGACCATCGATGACTCAGCTCCGTGACGTCACGTAATCGCCCATTGAGTATACCACAAAGGCTACTGTATTTGCGCGCAGTGGGGGTACCCTTTTTGCATCGTAGGTGGGCTCCTGCATAAGTTTGTGTGTACATACGTTTCGGTGTATACACATGTAGTAGTAGTACGCCATTCTCTTTGGTACTTTTTTGGCTGTGTTAAAAATGCACACCCAAGTTGTGCTTGACATACAAAACATACCGAGTACATACGTAAAAGCAAGAAAGTACTTACGCTGCATACAACAAAACGGATACAACGATAGACGTGTATTGAAAACGATACCACGCCAACAGATGTTTCACCCTGATTGCACCAGACTTCCGGTTGTTCAGTATTGAGATGTTTAACCTTAAAGAAACAACGGTATTACTGTCATTGGTGCTGGGATCCTTTTTAATAACCCTTCATGATTGTTTTATGAGAAATTAAATTTACACGCACATTTCTGTAATGTAAATATGCAGATTCGCGCCTATTGCAACCAGGTCGAGTTTTCGTATTCTTTACTCTTATCCGACACCGGTTCCTGCCAATTTTTCTTCTGTTTATAAATATTTATTGCGCCCTCTAGCGATAAATAAACTTTTTGTTGTCACTGCGCGCGTCTCCAAAATTTAAGAATGGCGTTCTTTTGTTTAAATTCAATACTGGGCATTTTGGGGTGTCAGCTGCGTACCGGGCATTCTAGGGCGTCGTTTAGTTAACTTGTAACTTGTAAAGTGGCGCAGTAGCAGAAGGCTGATTTCGATCCAGCTACCGCACGTCGACCTGTTTGCTCGTACATCTACACAAATGTAGATGCAGCACTGCAGCACTTGCTATCATTTCCGCCGCACTTGAATAAAGGCATGAACGGCCAGTCCGGGTGGTAAGTAGGACCTTTGAATAAAATACTTGTACATAATTTTTTATGCCGTTTCTTATGCCATAGCTTAGTTTAATGCATTTGCCTTTTCAACTTGTGATTATGGAATGACTTAACATGTGCACTCTATTATAATGTCAAATTTTCTTAAATTCCAGGAGACTGGTATTGAAAGCATTCTTATTTATTTGTCTCTTGAAATGGGTAAACTCTTGTGGCTATATGCTCTTCTTCAGAAACCCTTTTCTTTAAAAAGAATTACCGGCTTAAATTAACTAGTAAATTTAATTGGCTATTGGACAGCATAATTTGTTGGTTATTTAATTTTCTGTATTAATTCTCTGTATTTTGTCCAGGTGATCGCCATCCAGGCCACCACGCGACTGTGTTTTTTTAATATCTTGCAGCTAAACCCTTTGTACATAGAATAAAACACAGTACATACGAGACAGAAAACTAAAAAAAAAACTTCACCCAGAGTTTTTATTAGTGAAGCCACCCGGTCAAACTATAAAGAAATCTTACCTTATCCTATTGAGCTTATATCGATCACACAACCTACCACAGTGGTACCATCCAGTATTAATTGACACCATCACTATCCCCTCACAAATTTCCTTCACCCCTGGGGGAATGGAATATCCCCGCTCCTCATCTTTTCACATTTGTTGTCGAAAGAACCACTGTGAAGTTGTTTCGGAAAAAAATTGCAATTGAGGTTACCTCAGAAGGCTTATATTCAAAGTAGATGTATAAAGTACTAATTTCAATGATAAGACTGGCTCCTAGACGAGAGAATGTATCAACAATGCTGTTGTTAACGTCGTCAAAAATACAACGTGCCTGCTTTTTACTTCCATTGTGTGGATAGATGAAATGTCAAATGTCAGCTGTCTACAGCTAATGCATGTACACATGCGGCCATGAGCATTATCTTCATACAACGTATACTGTGTATGTACATGTACGTTATGCATGTGTTTGCTTGAGCAAACGGACAAGGATTTCTGTTGCACATTTGAGCAAAACGTATACGGCAAAAACTACGTGCGTGGGTAAAAGTTGTAGGCTCAACGACATCTACAATCTTTGTGGAGATAGGTTTTGCAGGGGAATACACGTGGTTTGAAGATTTTCCCACGCAATGGCCCTGTAGCTGTGCACGTTGGCAACTTTCTACAAACTTTCCATAGCCACCGCATAACAGGCTTACGAGACATTCACGTCTGCAACTGTACAATATCAAGTTATAAATTATAAGTAATACTTTTCAAAAGAAGCAAAAGGCCTGTTGTTTTTATTTAAAAAAAACTACGAAATTGATTACAGTTAACGCAATTATGACAGCCATTTGTTCCCGCTAAAATAACGAATTAAAACTGTTCACCTTCGGAAAGTGACCCTTAATCTGAGCTGAGCACGTGAAGCCTTGGTAGAAGGGACTAGAATTATGCCCAGCGCTAGCGTCACGAGTGACCAAATCTTCGAAACAAATTCAGCACACACTCAGTTTACGCTATCAGTCAAGAATGAATTTTGACGATCAGATGCCTGTAGTGTGCGGCAGGATCAGAGCAGGAAACGGGGTTCTTTGGGATAGTGATTTTCGGGCCGGTGTAGCCTGTAGTGATTATTTTGAACACAGCTCTATGTTAGTACAGGTTGTAGTGAACTTTTGACTTTATGCACAGTTCTATGGTGTAGTGATTTTCGGCCAGTGTTGGAACGTTCGGTGATATTTTAGTGCACGGTACTACGGTGTAGGGCTTGTAGTGATTTCATCTCCTGCAGGAAAGACTTTTTTGACTTGTGTGCACTTTTCTTCGAAGTAAGGATTTTCTGCCATTGAAGGGACATGTAGTGATATTTTTGTACACGGTTCTATAGTGTAAGGGTTCTCCTTCAAAAAGGCCACTGATACACAAGCCACAGAGATTGCCACAACAGCAGATTTTGATTCTGAGCGGTAGCTTTGATTTTTGAGTTTGATGACAGCGGCCGCTTTCGAAAATGTTCAAATGGCAAAAATAGCTCAATCTTCCCACTTTGATGGTTACAGTACTTGATTACACATCTACACTTTTATCACTTTTCTGCTGCATATTTGAAGCCTTCCAAACTTGTCATGGGAAAGAGAAAGATCGTGACCTTTCCCGATAAGCAAGAAATCATCAAGAGGATTGATGGTGGGGCCTACATTGCTTTAATTTCCTCTTATTATTTCCACCCTCCTGAGGCCCACTACAGTCTCCACGTAGAAACAAATCGCACAATGACACACCCTCAACGTGTTTCATTCGAAGGCACTCAAACTTTATTCGTCAAATCAATCTATAAATACGAGAGAGGGTCTCTGAATGGGCTAGAGCCATCACTTCTTATCGACTACAGATGTGTCTCCACCTTGTTAGATGAATTATGCCCTTAAGGTTTTATCGAACGGTTATTGATTAGTGTTTCTTTATCCCAAATGTAATCCTGATTATTGTAGTAAATGTAATGCTATTGACTGTAGATCTTGAGTGTTACATTTTGCGAAAATATTTCATCATGGTTGGGATATACAAAACTTGTTTTGGATTTCCCATGCACACAGTGTTACATGTTTATCCCACAATAACTACATGGTCTTCACGACACAGTGTGTTTTGGTTTTTGCTTTTTATATTTATAGTCAAATCTGAGCACCAAGACTTCCAATAAACTGTAAGGCATCGGTGCCGGATGACCAGTGTTAGCGTGAGCAGGGATCCACGGTAGAGCCGTGTGGTGGGCCCCTACAGGTAAGCCTGGGAGACCAGTTGCCCGGGCGCCTGCGCAGTAGCATTTTCTGAGTCGGATTGTCTGGGGCATGGTTTGGAGTTATGCCAGACAAGAATGGCGAAGTGATAATAAACGGCCGAAAGCCAGAAAACCCAAGTAGAACTTTTTGAGGAAAGCCCTTGGAGGCGGTCGGCGTTACAATACTGTGTTGTCAAGTTACTGAGAGCTAGTGCTACTACTTGGAAACCATGATATATGCTGCACTAGACCAATCAACCTAACACAAGCAACTGCACAAGCAATAAATGTAATGTTGCTGTGAGACTATACCAAGCACCAACAGATTCATAATATTCAATTTCCTATACTTCAGTACACAAAGTTTTACAGATGCAGATTACCAGCGAAAAGTTGCCGCGGCAATCATGGGGTATAATTATATTCATCGCGGTTGTGAAACAGAGTAAGTGCGTAGTAAGTGCTCGCTGTGCTCTGTGGACATACTGGGCATGTTAGAAAGCGGTAATTGGTAAGATTTTAAACCCTTGGCAGTTCAATCTCCTTCCGTGTCGTTCCTGTATGGTATCAAACGCCAAGACAATAATTGCTCGTATTGAGGTTCGAGAATATGGTCCGTCACCCAGACCCACCCCCACCCCTTTAACTTCCTGTCTTTTCAGGGCCTCGGTTGCGTGAGAACGCGAACAAAGGTTTTCACTTACCAAAACTTACTTCGTCATCTGTGCACTTTGCCAGAAAAGAAAGCAATGTATGAAAAGGTTATCTGGTCATGCATTGCGATGACATGCATTTGATTCGCATGCATTTTCCATGCATTTAAAAACTCGACCTGCATGCATCATACTTTCGGGCAACTTTACAGTCCACGCATGACAACACACCACCGCGTATACCCAGCAAGAAATGAGACCGAGTGGTACTCCCCAACACGTCCAATCCCTGTACACATTCCAGACTATTGTTTCCCCAGATTCCTGCGAGACAATGATCAACGCAAAGCAGGGGGGGGTTCTCTCCGTCTCATACCTTGCTGCATATGCCACTGCGACAACAAAGGACATTTTTACACATAAAGGGAGGCGTGGGGGAAATCTTTCGTTTGCACTGCCGTTCGCTTCTTTTGTTATGGAAGCTGTCACTACAACATGAAATTCTGCAGGGGGAAATGCCATGTCAATTTCTATTGAACGCGACCAGCAAATCTAAACCTTAAACCCAATGAAAACAAAGGACAATCCTAAAACACAAACTAAATTGACTAAACCAATGACTCTAAACTGATCTTTCAGGGAAGGGACTGATTATGCAAATCCAATGGTTTCCCTGTCAGTCCATTTATAATACTTAGTATTTATTCTTGGAAAAAATAAAACATTTTGATTACTAAGAAAACCAATCCAATGGCCTCCAACCCCTAGTCGTTTTTGCTATTGTTTTCATTAAACAAAGGTTTCAACGCAATCACCTCCCATTTCATCCTACCTCTCATGCCGAACAGCTTAGTTTAGTTGCCTTCATCGTCAGGGATTCCCCTGAGCAGTGAAAAGAAAAAACACCAGCCGGGTCTGGCAAAGTGTCACTCAACTGTGCACAAACAACTCACCCAAGAGCCCCCATGGCATTATTTACACAGCTGGCCATAATTTTCGACCAGTGCCGTGCAAGATTGTACCAGACTATTGCGCAACCTCATCGTGGCTGTTAAAGTGTATTCCCGTGCGTGAACAGAATCGGAAGCACCTGCATTCGTAAGTAATGCATGCACAATTAGTTTCCCCCAATGGGGGGGGGGGAATTTGACCATCATCCAAGATGTTGCTGGCAGGGCCAGTTGTTTTTTGTGCGTTCCAGCTATTCGTTTTGTGAGCGCCCTGTTGCGTATCAAATAACACATGTACAACGTACGTTTTGACCAAGACCAAGTTTAAACCTGATGCCTAAAAACTATAAACCAAAGTCTGTGGAAGTACTAAAACAATACATTAAACCACTATGACCGTAAGCACATGGCCTGAACCATAAATGGAAATATCATAAGCAAACTAAAAAGTATTTGAATATATAAGGTCTTTGTCTTGGTCTCGAACTCTAGAAACCTAGTATATGTAAACAAAACTCAAAGAAACTTCAAGAAACTAGAGAAAATATTTACAAAATGTCAAAGAAAAAAATATCACGGTTATGCAAATAAAAGAAATTTTTTAAATCAAATACAAATCCTTACAGTTTAAGTAAGATTTATCGGTTTACGATGAACGAGCCTTAAGGAAAGACTTGGGATAATTGGGAACATAAATGTTAGGATAAAGAACAGAAGTTGATTTGCTTGTTAAGGAAAGAAGCCGGGATATCATTGATAAACTCCAGTAGATAAAATGAACTTAAGCATTGGCGGATAAAATATATGATGGGAGGGGGTCACTCGTACCAACTCTAATGTGATTTGACCGAGTGTCTAAGTTTTTGTTACAGTGGGGCAAGCTAAGGCTAACATAAAGAACCACGGGACATATTACCAATTAAAGGTTGAGGACATTTACTGTAAAGGGAAATTACATGTACTATTTTCTTTTTCACTAGAAAGTAATTTAAAAATTCTCACAATTTGTGGCTTTGTCAAATAACTAATAACGCCATTATGTTATACATTGTACAATAAACTATGTAAGATCAGCCCCCATGGGCAAAACCTTCCTTTTTAATCATTCCTCCAAAGTTTCCTTCCAACATTTTCAAAGTATAATTTTAATTTCTGCTTAATTCTTTCCAGCCTGTGTAAACAGAAGGACCGTACAAGCGATTTGCTGCAAACGTTATAATCTGCAGAAATTGGTCAAACCAAACCTTTTCATTTCTTGATCGGACCACCATTAAAAAGCCAAAGGTGCAAAGTTTTCGGAAACATTTTTACTGAACGGAGTACACTTAGAGAAACTACGGGGCAAGGGCGCGAACCTATGTGGAGTTGAACATGCCACAAGCCTAAATATATTTTTAAACGAGAATAACTGGAAAAAGGCATGACAAGGACGTGAAGAAATATAATGGTGAGAATAAAAGGGGGAAGATATAAAACGATAAAAAAGCCTATTGAGTTTACAATAGGAATGAGGATGAGTTTACTAAAGAAAGGCGACCTGTTGATATTATATCACCAGGCCTACTTCCATGGAACAAACGATTTTAAGGAAGCTTTCTTAGCAAAGACTCCGGGCAAGCTTCTGCAACCCTTAAAGTAGCCACTATTCTTCACCACTTTAAACTGAGGGGGTGGAGCCGCTGTGAAGGGTACAACTTTACAGAAAAGTTGTGAGTCCAAGGGCGGGTATTGCCCAGTTTCCAACCTACCAAATTTTCGCCAAGCATGGTACGTGTTGTACAGGCTGTTGTTGGAGTGAAGGAGTTGGAGATAAGCTGCCAGGGCTTCAATTGAGTTGAAATCGCCGATGTGAATAAAAGACTTTGGAGGTAGAAGTCGTTGGTATGTTTCCTTCCTGCCTCCGTAAACTACTGGCACTGCTCCCGCGGCGAGAGCGTTTTCCCAAACTTTCCTCGTGATATATTCATCACACTCGGAATTCTCGAGTGAAAGATAAAACTTGTACCGTTCCATGACACGCGTACAATTCTTTGCAAAGGCATCAAAGACTGGAAAGCATTGTGCGCTTCCACACTTTCCGAAGATATCGACGGGGACGTACCTCTTCAGCTCGCTGACAAACTCTAGGCGAGGCCAGAAGGTGTATTTACAATTGCTGGCCATCCAGGCTATCATGCCAGTCTTACTGGCCGACCAGTCCCGCTCAGTTGACGTTACGCGTTCAGGGTGGTTGGGCGAGTATTTTGCAGCGAGAAGTTCGATGTCCGCTTCAGAGTGGTACGTAATTGAATGATGATACAGAATCTCGCCAACTGACTGGTCCCAGAAAGTCATCATTTGTGGGCTCTCTACACCGTAGAAAAACCAATGAATCTTGGGATTCAAGACTTCTCTGGAAAAGAACGACAGGGTATATGAAAATTCTACTTTCTCCACAGACAGAATTTGTCAAACAATCATCAGTTAACTAAGAGTCATAAATTCAAGAAAGTCACTCTTTCATCACTGGCTTCCAAAATCTTTTACGTGTATTATAGTTTCGTGGCAAGTTTAACATTTGTGTTGAATAGTTGCAGATTATTTACGACAATTCGAGAATGTTTAAATTTTTTTCTGTGTTCCTTGATACCTGCATGGCGAACTGTCCTTTAAGTAAAAAAACAAACCTTAGATGGGGGAGGAGTTTCGGATGTTTCTCTTTCATATGCAGTGGGTGCATGTTGACAATGATTGCATCAGAACCATTGAGATATCTCGCTTCTACTGTGACTAAGACGTGAACATCACATTTCTGTCTCGGACATTTCAAGTGAAGACTTTTCAGTTTCTCTCCACTTTTAAATTGGGCTGAGTGTTGTTTGAACTGGTCCACGAATTGTTTGTACTCCCTCCAATCAAGTCCGGGCAGCAACGACTGCAGCAGAATCGCAACAGTAGTGTTACACCTAGGTGCTGTGTGAACGTTCCCACCGCGATTATGTCCAAATTCTGGCCTGTTGCCATGCTGGTTTGAGATTCCTTGCTCAACCACAGTGACTCCATGATTCTCTTGCCCCTGTGATTCGTTTCTGACACGCTGTGCGATAGACCCCCTCTTGTCCCATTCCCATGGTGGGAAGACGACTGGTAGGACATTGTTGACGATCAGCCATGTTAGACTTATTGTGATTGCAAAGAATACTGGGATGTGATGCATTCTCAGACGGTAAGGAGCCATTCTGTCAAATAGGTTCCCTTCTCCAGTTCGCTCCTTCGCCCTTCGTCACTGAAAGCCGACCACTGGTAGGCGTAGAATGTTTGAACTAAATCAAAATTCTTCCTCTTAAGGTTGAGAGTATTTTGTCCTTTGAAGTATTTCTATGCGGATTTCCTTTTTGATTAGTGACTTTTGACGTTTTTTTCTTCTTCTTCTTTTCTCGCGGCGTGACGGCTTGGAGGCACATTTACAGAATATATAGCGCCGCTCATCGGTTAGCCTGGGATCAACTCGTCACGCTGAACTGAATGCATTCGCACAATCGGACTGTACAAAGGACTGTAAGGGGATTTGCACCCGTACCAGACTGCTTTATACTTCCGTACTTTCCAAGCGTCCCTTGCAATAATTTTCAATCATGAATTTGAAATTATTGATCAGAGTATAGACAGGTGCAAATTTATCATGAAATTTCATTTTGTTGCTTCATTTGTACTCTCAACATTCAAAAATGAAGAGTTGACCTCGCTTTCAAATTCAATATGGCCGGCCCCCATGAATAAAGTTAATAATTATCTTCACCCTCACCCAAGGCCGAGTTCGGACAGCTTGTTCCCGTATGTTTACGAACAGCTCGATTTGTTGTTCGTTGGTCGGCTGCTCGAACGCCGGGAACAAACAACTGGTTATCGCTGGTAGTTAGTGACAAGCAACATGCAACATGGCGGCGTCCATGTAGGCTAAGTTATTCGAGAGTTAATGTTTGGATGGGCTGAATTCTTTTCTATAAAAACAGGAATATTCATAATTAATGTTAAATTTTG